GAAGTCTGCCTTACAAGATCCACGGGATAAACTTAGCTTGGATGATGAAGATGAAGCTTCAGATCCAAAATGACTCTGGTAGGCTTTAGCTGTTCCAATTTCTTTCAATATATAATCAGGGAGCTAATAAGTGGAACAGCCTTTTCCTACTCTTATCAGGGCGATTTTTATTGTCAAGATAGCATATAAGAGGTCAAATTTCATCCTGTTTCTTAGGTTAAATTTGATACATTCACCCCAAATTAAAAACGTTTAGAAAAACATCTACCATCTAAACGTCAAAAACGTCATCTAAATGCAAGGGAAAACATCTGAATCTGGATGTAAAACATCCAAAGTGGCAACACTGCTTTCCGGGCCGGCAAACTTTCCATTAGCTGCTAGATTTTGAAAATTGTGGCTAAATTTAGCTACATAATCACTATCATCCTGTGCGAGATCTTGAGTACCAAACCATGCTAATACCCTTGTTACAGCCATTGTTGCCCGGCTCTCTAGCGTAGTTGGTTAAACCTGACATCGCGGTGACCAGGTGATGAACTCCTTGTGGTCCGGGTTCACTTCCGGGGGTAGGCAGAAAACCACATTTCTTCCAGATGTATGGTACCTATCATGGAATCAAGGTCGAAGGGTTACGATATCCATAGTACCGAGCCAATGGGTTAACAACTCATGGTTTCTGGATTAAAATAAAAAAAAGCAATTTGTTCTCATTGTGGGACTGCTGGTTGTAATAGCAAATGCGCCATTCATCTCCTTTGCGGTTTTCTCCCTCGAGCTTACTGTGAATGCCCATGCACTTCGCTTGGCCCGAATTACTGATCCGTCTGTGTAAACTATAGCATCACCTTCATCTGTGTTTTCGTCAATCAGTGTTCTGACTAAAGTGTCAACAATGCCAGAAATCTGCTCTCTATAGCTTGTATCAAATGTAGTTTGGACTGTAAAATTTATGTTTTCAGTTCCAAAAATAATGTAAGTAAAGCAGCAAGCATGTTCGATAGCGTCCTCAGCTAAACCCATCAAGGATTTGCCCCGTTTCATTCTATTATTATTATTAATATTTTGCTTGAATAGTTCCTCATGAAGTGTGTGTCGATGAGGTCTGACTTCACTTTGAGGAAATCAATGGCACTGGATATCTTGATTTTGTTTTCCACTGTGGGTTAATCCAAAAGCTATCCCATGATTTTACAGGATGTGTCTCTAGTGCATCCAAGAATAATACGCATTGCCTCGTTTTCTACCTCCCCCCCCCCCCACCCCTTCCCAAATCTGTTCATTTGTGTGGTGATTAGTGATTAGAAAGGATTATCATCATAACACTCCGGACAGATCCATAGATGCTCCGATCTCCTCCTCAAAAGCTCCACAAGTGTAAAACGACTGATGACGCCTGTTCTGTGTTGGTTAATGAAACGTCTTGTCCTCTTAGTGAAATGTTCATTTCTTGCAGCTCCAGGCTGCACCCCCATGTCCGTCAGTCTAGACAGGGATATGGAGTCATATCCTTTGGTGTGCTCCTTGGTACGGTAAGTGCAGCGCATGGCATTGATAACATCACTTCTCTCCAGTACTGGGCCAGCCATAGCAACTGCTATGTCAACAATATGGTCTGCACGCTCGTTCCCTTGAACACCCGCATGACCTGGCACAAATATAAAGGTTAGGGCAGATATTCGTGAAGTGCTTAGTGTTTCAATCCATTCTTGCCTGATAAATCCAGCTTGGATTAGTTCAAGCATATTCATCGAGTCACTAAGAAAGCATGCGTATGTGAACTTTGGAGTACTAAGCCATGCTAAAGCCCTTGTTTCAGCCATAATTTCCATTGTAAGGCTACTAGTTGTAACAGCAAAGGCGACCTTTATCTCCTTATGTGGTGCTGAATGTCATGATCTCTAAGTTGGCTGCGCATCCTTTACAGGACGTTGCAGAACCAACCTCAGCATTTATTGGCTGTTGTGGCTTTCCTAGTCAAATTTTACGTTCAGTAGAATGTCACGATAGCCAGTGCATATTCAAGGATGGAGAGAACTAACCCATGATATAACATTACAAGTAGACGCTGCTCAAAGTTTGCAGCTCCCATAACTTTTATTGCGGAGAGACGTTTCCTGGCTTTGGTTATAATGTGGTCTAAGTGTGTGTTAAAATTTTTTTTAAAATTCTGTATGCTTAGCATATGTCAAATGTAGCGCCATCTGGTTTGTGTTAGGTAGGTAAGTGCTTTGCTGAAAAAACATATTCGTGACGTTCAGCAAGCATCCCCAAAGAGAGGGGTGGGGAAGGGGGGGGGGGAAACTCTTTATATTATAATTGTGACAGTGTTATGTGCGCCAAATAAAATGGCTTCGTGTTGCCCGTCACCAAAAGCCATGAACTGGACTCCTGCAGTGTACATGCGATCTGACTGACTTTTTACCCAACCAGGACATCACACTAAGCGATAAAGTGCCACCATTCGGGTGAGGATCACTAGTGGAGAGGTCCCAAAAACTTCGTTCAACCGTTAGGTTTTAATATTTATATTATAGTATTAAGCCCACCCTGGCAGCAGCCAGGTTGGGCTTCAGAATGACGAAAAATCTGTCCCACTCGGGGACGGAGATCATTAAAGATGCGATCAACGGAGACAGACCCAAACAGTGTCCCGACCGGCGACGAAGTCATCTACCGGCGAGTCAATGGTCTCCAATCTGTGTCTAATGTAGCGTCATATTCTCTGTCTTATAACTGATTTATAATTTGGGTTAGCTTTACGGCACTCCTAGCACCTCATTATGTGCTCATGAGTCTTATAACTGTCGATCATCATCATGTAGCAGGTCCTTTGCAGAACGTCGCTCTCATCACGGTCTGCATGAAAGACTCTTGGTCTCTCGCCAGCTCTCCCACCTGATGTACTTTCATACTCAAAGAGTCACTTATATCCCGTGCCCATCTTTGTGTCTGTCGGCCCCTGCCCCTCCTTCCTGGTACCATGCCTCCTCCTATAATTTTTTCCAATCTGTCGTGGCGCTTGATATGACCAAAATATTGCAGCTTCCGAGATAGGATGCTGTTTATTAGCCAATCTTCCTTGATGTTCAGATCTTTCAAGATGTCAGCATTTCCCCTCTTTCTTGTCCAAGATATTCTGAGAATCTTTCTGTAGCATTTTAGCTCACAAGCCTCTATTCTCTTTCTTAAGGGCTGGGAATAGGAACTCTTTGCTGGCTACTGAAGATGGGGACGGAGCGCTTATGGGAATGCCCCGAGTGCTGTGATGTCGGTTTTTGAATCAATTAGTCAATCAATCATAAGGACTTGGAGATAGTTCACTGTGGATACTAGTGGTAAAATATGGCTAAATATGGCCATGAGTTGCTAAATTGCCACCCGTTCTTTGTATTTGGACTTGTGTGCAAACACTAGGTTTACATATGTCCACTGGGTATCATTAACTAGTTATTCTTTCTTAATTAAAGTAACTATAATTCATTGACCTGTTATGCTGCGAGTATGTAACCAGACATGGTACTACTAGTTGTCTTAATTTACTTATAGCAGCTAATAATACTTAGTAACAAATTATGTGTAGGGTTGTTCATCCACTTCTGGTCTCAAGTCTTGTTCCAAAATGTGAACTTTGCGTTTTATAGATCTGGCTTATTTTATGCAGACTTTGTCCCTACTCCACAATGGGACATTGGTGCCTACACGGGGATTACATTATATGAATCGTGTAAGCATATCATTAAATAAAGAACTTCTTTAGATTCTTTTTTTGTTGTGCTATGACCTGTGGATTTTCCGTATTTATGGTTGCTAAACAGAAAAGAACCATTTTGAACATAGAAAAAGAAGGGAGGGGGGGGGGGGGTGCCATTAGACCTCGTGCACAAAATTTCAGAGGGGTTGGAAAAGTAGGTGCCGCTCAACCCACCTCTACATTTAACGGAGCGGGCGGGAAAGGGGGGGGGGGGGGGGGGGGGTTAGGATAGCAGAGCTCTGAGGTTCCATTGTCCTTGAATGAGCATAGCTTGATTTACTTACTAGCTAATGTTCCGTCGCCGGCTACTGAGTTTTTCTGCAGCAGTTCTGTGTTGTTGACTCCACTAAAAGTAATTGGTGGCTAATTGCGTTCAGAACAGTGTGTACGTTTGCTAATGCAATGCCATCTTTCAAGACGTACCATGTGCATCAGCAGTGGGCTGCAGTTGTGGTGTGGGGAGGGGAGCGTTAGTGTTGGCACATCTGATAGCTGCCTTATGTATTTTTACTTTGCATGCGCAAGCTTCAAGATTTTGCTGGGAATTTCATTGGTTTTTTAAAATAAAATTTCAAAAAGGACAGTGAAGGAATTTTGTATGTGATTTTCAAACAGGACAGTAAATGACTTTTTGTGCGAGATTCAAAAAGGACAGTGAAGGATTTGTGTGTGAATATCAAATAGGACAGTGAAGGACATTTTGTGTGATTTTCACTGGCACAGGAAGGGAGCGGTGATGGGTGACTCATCTGCAGGGATGTAGGAACCTCGACTAACAACTTACTAGATGTGACTCAAGTGTTATATGATGATGATGATGGTAGCTGTCTAGCCAAAATGTTCACTCTTGTCATCCATGATTTCCCATTTGGGTTCCAAGGCTCCAGTTGTGGGAGGGAAAAATACCCCCCTCCCCCTTCAACAAGCATGTCATAAAAGTCAACTTATTAACAGTTTCCTTTGAAGTCTGAGTGCATCTGCCTAAGAGGCAAGGAACCAGTAGTATGCATACACAAATAAGCCAGATCTGTAAAATGGCATGCAAAACTCAAGTTCTGGCACACGAATAAAGTCCAGAAATAGATAAACAACCACGATTTTACAGCCGCTGAACGCAAAGAAGAAGTAGCAGTTATTCATGATAGTGGTTTGGTTTGGGAGGGGGCGGGGGTGGCTTGACTAGTTCAAGTTCTTGTTAAGATTGTTTTTTAACTGTATGTGACTGTTATGCAACTCTGTTTCAGAAATGAAGCGCTATCTCATCATTACAGGAGATGATTTTGGTTTTAGTTCTGAAAGAAATAAAGGTATTATGGAGGCCTTTAACAAAGGTGCTATTAAAAGTGCTTCTCTTTTGTTAAACTGTACTGGTACAGATGATGCTGTGTCGCTGTTTAAGTCAAGTGATCTTTGCCCAGGTTAGTGTATGTTAAATATTTTTTCCTATGTTAGGAAGACTACGAGTACAGAACGAAAAATATTCTATGCAGTCTTTCTTTGTCAACTGAGGCGAGAAAAAGAATTCTCTAGAGCTATATAAATCTTATCCTGATATACGGAAGTGAATGAATGATTCAAACACTGACATCGCTGCACTCAGGACATTCTCACATGCGCCCTGTCCCCTTCTTCAGTATCTAACGAAGAGTTGACATGTTAATGGTACCAGTTGCAACCTGATTAAAAGTCCTTCTCCGTTTTCCCTTCAGTGGTGAATATCTCCCAGAAAAATCTACTTTTCCCCCAAATATATATATATATAAAAGTGTGTCATGAACAGTTAAATGATTAATGAAATATTTTTTTGAAGCGGCAGAGATGTGATTTCTGAGATGAATGATGAGAATACCCTGGACAGATAAAAAGAGTAATGAAGAGATTTGAAAGAAACTGACTCATAAAGAGAACTGATTGCCCTCATCAGAAGGAGACAATCTACATTTTGAAGTCATGTCATGAAATTGTAAAACCTGGAGTACATCAGTAGGAAAGCAGGAGGGGAAAAGAGGCAGAGTGAAACAAGAGAGAGAGAGAAGATTATGGACAGAATGTCATAGAATATGACTATTTGGAGTGCATCTGCCCTAATGTCTATCTATCTATCTACTTTTACTCCACGAGGACATCACACAAGCGATAAACACCCAATTACACAAAATGCCACCATGTGGATGAGGATCACCCTTGGAGAGGTCCCAGAAACCGCGTTCAGCCATTAGATCATATTTATGGTCGGGCTATATTGCGGCTCCTGACATGAGACAGAGTAGGGCTTCAAGGAGATGACTTGATATTTTTTCTACATGTATTAAGCCCGAGCGGCAAGTAACAACCAACTGCACACAAATAAGCCAGTAAAAGGAATGTACACACAAAACTCAAGCCCTGGCATAAAGCCAAAGTCAAAATGGACTAACAACCCCGACTTTCTTTCCGAGCTTACAGCCAGTAAACAAAGAAAAAGAAGAAAAAGCAGAAGCTTTGTTAACATCTTGCGATTGGGATCATCATGTATCACTTCATGTGCTGACATCTCTCTGTACCATGAAAGAAGGTTGTGAAGAATGTTCTTTTATTGCCTTTCTCTGTCGCTCCATAAATCTTTTCTGTTATCACAGCATATTCTTGTTCATAGATGCCGGAACCTGGGCAGTCAGACTGGCTTAACCGTCACCCTCCTGCAATGAGGCCTACCTAAACTCTCCACACACACATACATTTTCAGGGAGCACAGCCCCCTCCACTAGATATAGACCATTTCCTTCTAATAATTTTTTCAAATACATTATTTATTTACCATTTGTTTCCATTCATAAAATGATGATAATAATAAGAAGAACACTAATAATAATAATTTATTTGTATTATTATTGAAAATAAAAAATAAAAATCTGAAGTCCCCTACGCCCCAGTAATTTTCTTTAAAAAGGGGAGCAGGGGCAGGGCTTAAAAGAAAATTAAGCACGACTTGTCTGACCCCCGCCTCCTGAAAATTTTTGGGGGCATGAAACGCCTTTCCCTCCATTACCTCCAATGTTTTCTGTATGTATGGTGGTACACCTGTTGCTTTTATTCTTCTCTCATAATATGGTCAGAATTTGATGATGGCCTCTTTCTGAATATGTTGTCTTTGTGCCTTACCTGTTTTAAAACATTTAATAAATAAAGTACATTTTTATCATATCTGTGTTTTTATGTGCGACGTTTGTTTGAAAACACAGGTCTTCATTTGAATTTAACAGAGGGAAAACCAGTTGGTACAACACAATATCAGACACTGGTTACACCAGACAACATCTTTAAAGGCAAATTTGGCCTCAGAAAAGACCTAGAAGCTGGCTTAGTTGATTTGAATGAGGTAAAATGGTCTGTGTGAATATAAGCGATTTATGTTCTAGAGAGTTTGCTCCTCATGATTATCATGCTCTCCCATTAACATGGGTTTAGCAGTTTTCTAGTTTGGCCAACATTTTCTGTGGCTCACAGTTCATCTGATTTTTTCACTTACTCAGAGACATTATTCATGCTCAGTGTCTGACATCATAAATGATTAAGGTCACCATAAATTATCAGGGAGAAAATGACTCCTTACACACTGAAAGAAAAAACTGGGAACCGATGAAGACCTCAACTGCACCATCTTGTTTGTTAGCCAAGGATGTTCTTGTGCTGGTTAACCCCCGCTTCTTCTTTCAGGAATAATACCTTCCATTACTGTTGTCTCTCAATCTCTCTCCCCCTTTCCTCCTCTTCAGGGCTGCAGCATGTATTATTAACATCTTAAGAATACAAATCATCAGGTACAAATCCCAGAAACCACATTTCACCATATAGCACTACTGTATTAGGGCACCACAAATGGTTAAGAAGTATCCTGTTGTCCCGTGCGGGGGGTTTCCTCCAAACCATTGTGGCTTTTAATAGTGAGTAGTGAGTTTAGTTTGAATAGAAATGGCATATCATTAAGTTTTATATCATACCATGTTCTTTCTGCTGCCTTCGACAATGATTTACAATTTCTTGATGTGTACAGTAATCTGTAAAACGGATATGCACGCAAAACTCAAGTTTTGGCACCAGATCAAAGTCCATAAGTAGATAACAACCAGAACATTCCACATGAGTTTACAGCCAGTGAACGCTAAGAAGGACTAAGTTTGCAGCTAGACAATCTTGAAACCCAGCCCTTACAAACTGGAGTGGATGTCACAGGTACAATGGTTTGTGTGCAGAATGGTAGGGAACCAACAACCTTGGCAGGCCAAGATCATGGAAATGACAACACAAGGGCGACCAAGGGTTCGCTGGGAAGACAACATCCCACAGTCCCTGACTGAGAGAGCACTGGAATAGAACAGAGTCAAAAATAAAACAGTTGATAGAGAAGTCTGGCGCTTTCTGGTAAACCTCTACACCCCAAGGTAGAAGACGGGCAACTGAGAAAGTAAAGTAAGTATAATGCTTACACACACAAAAGAATGATTTCTTCATGCAGGTCCAGCAGGAGATCGAAGCCCAGATCCAAAGATACAAAGAACTGCTTGGAGAGGCTCCTGTTTATGTTGATGGGCACCAGCATATTCACATCGAACCAGGTGAGGTTACGTTATTAGAACAACATACATTGACTTTAGAGCACTTAGGAAACTTTTCTTTTTTCTGTGCTTTTACTGGCTGGTAACTTTGGCGGAAAGTTGTGATTGTTCATTCACTTCTGGACTTAAGACTTGTTCCAGAATTAGTCATTTTGTATTGCTTGCAATACTGAGCGAACATCTGTCAGTATAACCACTTTTTCTCGAAGCTACATTCACATTCACACATTAATATAGATACTGCTTTATCCATCAGCACTGGCTCCACATTGTAATTGTTGGAGTTTTTTCCCGTAGGAAGACTTCACTTTTGGGGGGGGGGGGGGGGGGGGGGGGGGCACCATTTGTCCATTCAGTGTGGATTTCACCTCCTCCATCCCTTACAGCTTCCTTTGCTGAGCCATCCAAGAACACCCATATCTGTTTTGGGGATAGTTTATTTTAACCGCTGACTAGTGAAAAAAAAAGTAGTTCAGAGTCCTCGCCATGCTATGGAGTTTGTGCACTGCGCTAAGATTTTTCAGACTCAGGATTGAGTTAAAAGTAGAACTGAGTACTTATGGGTTACCACCCTAGTGCTATGATGTTGAACCGTTGTTTAAACTATACCACATTGGCTGACTGACTGACTTTCTACCCCACTAGGACATCACACAAGGGATAAACACCCAATGACACAAAGTGCCACCATGTGAATGAGGATCACCGTGGAGAGGTCCTAGAAACCGCGTTTAGACAATTGGCCATATTTATAACCTGCCTATATTGCAGCCCCTGGCAAAAGCCAGGGTGGGGCTTCAAATAACAAAAAAGTTTCATCCTAAAAAGGATATAAGGATTACAGGTATACCACATTCTAACACTGGGTAAACATATCCAGTGTAAGTTGTCATTAGTCCTCACCTCATGATTCACTACAAGTTGTTTAATTTTCTGCCAAAATTCTACATCGGTAATTTGTTCTTGTCATTTAATTCCTTATGTTCTGTCAGGCACAATTTAGTCAATTTGAATAGTTTATTATTATTATTACATATTTTTTTCCAAATAGGTGTGGTAGACATATTTGCTGAAGCTCTAAACTGTCACAACATTCAACTAACCAGGTACCCTGTAGAAATCAACCTGGCCAAGAAACCATGGGTGAATCCACAGTACACTTCCCTGTTTTTCTCTGTGATTGGCAAGGCTGAGAGGGCAGCACCTATTTTTGAGAAATGCAACATCAAGTAAGTGATCTGTTATAATTATGTAGTGGTCTATACATAATGTGGAATGCCTTTAATTTGTGCAGCATTTAAGTTGTGGTATTCAGTATTGATGGTGGTAGCTGATTTAGTGAGGACTGACAAAAGCCTTATGGAATAATTTTTACAAGTGTGGCCAACTTGTCATGACTGACTACTTCCGTAAGGTATAAACTGCTTTTCTGGTGGCGACTTCTGGCATTAGTGCCTCTAGCAACTGCCTTATGCATTTACTTCATGTACATATTTCTGGATTGTGCTGGGACTAATTTTTTCTTCTTCAGTTTTTCAAATGGAACTTTGAGGGATATTTCATTTGAGATTCGCTGGAACAGGAACGGAGCAAGTGTGGGGGTGACACGATTGAAGTGAAGTAGTGGAGTTGAAACCTTGACTAACACTAAGTCTATATTTAGTCACACTTTTGCCCATCTTCTATGTGTCTTCATATGTTGAAATTAAAGCACTGAGTGTCAGACTTTTTTAACTATCATCCTTCTTGTCACTAACACCTCTGCACATACATAGAGACATAAACAACTACTATACTGAGCAATACATCATTCACTGATTCATCGCCTTCATCCTATTGTGCCATCATATATCACATGTGACTCGCAGTCTGGTCTTTTTTGTTAAGTCCTGTGCAGTCCTCTTGATATCATGGATGCAGTCCACTCCAGCAGCATAGGTTTCTCTCAGCAGCACTGGCTTCTTTCAGCAGCATTGGCTTCTCTCAGCAGCACTGGCTTCTCTCAGCACCATTGACTTCTCTCAGCACCATTGGCTTCTCTCAGCACCATTGGCTTCTCTCAGCACCATTGGCTTCTCTCAGCACCATTGGCTTCTCTCAGCACCATTGGCTTCTCTCAGCACCATTGGCTTCTCTCAGCACCATTGGCTTCTCTCAGCAGCATTTGTCTTAAGGTTTCTTTAGGATATGTGTTTCCTTGGTTCATTTAGTTCCCATTTCAATGACTGCTTGGTGGTTCTCTATCCATTTCTTCTCAGGATCATCATCCTTTGTGTGCCATTAGACATCACATAGGGCTCGCATTCGATTCTTCCACTCCACTCAATTACTCACAGCTTTCTCGATATCTGACATGATGTTCAGCCCAGCATTTTTTTACCTCACCTAATAATGTTCTTTTCAATGTTTACCTTCGACGTCCTACTTTTTCTCACACTGTTTGTTTCCCCTTTCAGTGCCTGTTTTGTCATTCTTTGCTCATTTCATCTCAGAGTGTGTCCAATATATCTCCACCTTCCTTGTCTTACTGCAGTTGATACAAGTAATTGTCCAGACACATCTCTGATCTCTTCACTCTTTTTGAATTCATCTCATTTTATGTTCCTGATTTTTCTCAAACATTTATTTTCAAATGCATTTAACCTTCATTCCATATCTTTGGTGGTTCACCAACTTTCGCTGGCAAATGTCAGAATTTAAATAACGTTAGAACTGAAGATGCGTAGTTTGGTCTTAAAACTATAACTTGGAACTCCATATTTTGTTAAGGATTTTAAAGACTGTTGCTTTGCCAATGCGTATCATAATTCCGTTGTTGTATCTACTTGAGAGCGAAAATTGTTACCCAAAAAGGCGAAATGTCGTCCTTTGCTTTTATTGGTTTGTTCTCTAGCATGACATCCACATGAGCCATTTTTTATATCTTTAGTTCATTTGTTTTCTCATAACTTGTTTGTAGACCTTTTTTTTTATGCTGTAGATGACAAATTGGTTTTTTATTTTCATGTCTTTATTATCTTTACTTACCAGAACAATCTCATCTGCAAAATCCAGAACTTCCAGTTGTATATTCTCTACACACAAATTGCCAGGATTGCCTTTGCAATAATTTTTCATTACCCAATTAATGGCTACTCCAAATAATAAGGGAGATAAAGCCTTGTTTCACTATAGCTTCCATCAGACACCAGTCACTTAGACCAATTTCAGTGCACACTGCACATTTTGAACCATTGTATACATTTCTAATGCCATTATTTTGGCTGGTATACCGTAGCATTCCAGAATTCCCTATAGTATGTAAGCTGTCAAGCACTTTCTTGCAATCAGTAATATTCAGGATGAGAGGTTGTTTGCTTCTGAATGTGTTCTTCTAGAATAAGTCCCAAGTTAATTATTTAATCTAGATAACTTCTCATAGTTCGAAAATCAGCTTGTTCTTCTCTCATGATTGTCGCAACTGCCTCTTTAATTCTATTGATTATTACTTTGCAAAAAGCAGATAATGTTTCCTCTTCAATTATTAAAGCCGTTAAGATGTCTTGTTTGGGGGATTCTCACAATGATTCCTTTCTTCCATTGTTTTGGGACTATTTCCTGTTTCCATATTTTGTTAGTTTTAACTCTTATTGAATAGTTGTCTCATCTGCTCCTTTGAGCATTTCTGCTGTAATAATGATCTTCCCAGGATGTGCCCAATCTGTTGTCGTCATCTTTGTCTTTTAACTCTTTGAGTCCAAAGGAACGCATGATACGTTCATAGATTCCTACATAGAGGCCTAATGAACGCATGATGCGCCGATTGTACGTCTCTCTTGACTACCCCTTGGGCCTGTGATGCAAAACCCCCTGGGACTCAAAGAGTTAAATAATAATACCAATGGTCATAGTTGCTGGAACCAGGAGGGTTTAGAAACACAATTTTTAAAATTCATAATAGATCTCAGAGAGCTAATTTGTGATATATTGTATCACAGAACATCAGACAGCTTTGCTGGTCTGTCTACGATGGGAGCAGACATGACAGCAGACAGACTAAAGCATGTAATCCTAGAGGCATTTGTCGATGCTGAAACCAGAATGGCAATACAACCTGAGAAGCAACAGCGTGACCACACAACATGCGAACTGATGACCCATCCTGGGTACCCAACAGGCAGAGATAATGGAGGGTTCTCTTGGGGGTCAGATGACTTTGGATGTTCCACTGACCGTATACATGAGATACAGGTTCTCAGTAGTGCTGATATGATGAATTTTTATAAAGAAAATAATATTGAAGTAGTGTCACACAGAATTTTGTTGAAGTGAGTATCTGTGTCATCTAGGTATAACAGGTTATGAAATATGTATTGTGTATATCAGTTTTCGATGTCGTGTAATGGCTAGACGCTCTCCTGCAGATCAGAATGTCATGAGTTCGGGTCCTCTCAGTGCCAGACTTTTTTAAAAATGACCTCGGCTCCGAGGTCGACCCAGTCTTGATGTACCAGGTACAGTACTAGGAAGTAAAGGCGGCTGGCAGGATGCTTACCACATCACCCACTAAGTGCAGGTTGGTCTATAAAATATAGGTCTAGTCCTATGTCCTGAAGGTGAGGAACAGGATCCTAATATATTTGTTTTTACTAGTTCAGTTTCTCCGGTCGTCTAATTCGGGGTTCCTCAGCTTGCTTTGTGTGTGTGTTAATTATAACGAACAGACTGAAAAAAATGGAGAATGGCTTTGCAAATATCCCAACAGCGAACAAAGCAAAAAACAAATGTGTGTAGTAGTTTTTGACTTTGTATATTGTTTTGAAAGTGTCTTTGGCATTTTAACACTCTAAGAGAGATGAACCTGTATGAGGTTCTCTGTAGCTTTCATAGGCTTATATGCCTATCTGTTTCTACGGATGCTGTCCTGCGCCGGAACCACTGCTGGACTAGCTCTGTTCTTGTGGACAGCATTCTGATATTTTCTATTTTATAGATGATGCTAGGACAGTGTTTCTCAACATTTTTACAGCTGTAGCCCATCAAAATTGGGAAAGTGTTTCGCAGCTGCAACCGACAGCTAACCAAACACAGAAACAAAAACAAATTTAGATGACAGTTTATTTCTTAAATCCGATGTCACAAAATTACAATGATCCTTTGTGGGATGCAGTTTTTAATTATTTTGAAATCCCACCCTAGCTTTTGCCATGGGTCCTAAATATAGCAGGGCCTTAAATATGGCCTAACGACTGAACGGGGTTTCTGGAAGGTCTCCAAGATTAATCCTCATCCGCATGGTGGCACTTCGTGTCACTGGGTGTTTATCATTTGTGTGATGTCCTTGTGAGGTACAACTTTCCTACCTACCTTTATTTCCGTGGGGGATAACTTAAAATAACAATGAAATATTCAAGTTATTTGTAGTGATGTCCCCTGAATATATAAAAAAAAAAATGCCATATCATTTGTAATTTTGTTATTGTATATTTAAAGGAAAATAACTATAGACAAGGGAAGTTACTTTGTGTAAGTTACTTATGTAAAGTTATTTATAATTTTAATTAGGTCAGTTCTTTTATATGTATATTTTTTCTTATTTAACATAAATTTATATAGTTTATTTTTAAAATGTTCATTAATAATTTAATAGTACGGCTATGAATGCCTGTTAGCCTAGCTAGTATATGAGTGGAGTTTGCAGTTTCAAAACGGGTCACTACTTGAAGTGTCTGAACCTGTCGTGAAAGATATGTCTTATTTTTGTTATTTGGAGCCCCGTCCTGGCTTTTAGCTGGGCCACAATTGTGGCCATAATGGCTGAAAGGGGTTTCTGGGACCTCTCAATGGTGATCCTCATCTGCATGGTGGCACTTTGTGTCACCGGGTGTTAATTGCCTGTGTGATATCCTGGTGGGGTACAATAAGCAAGCAAAAGTCTGTTACAGATTACTCAGTTCTTCAACCTGCATGCATTATAACAGACATTATAACGAACCACTCATGGGAACAGTGGAAGTACTTTGGAGTGATTGCTGCATCCGAGGACTGAGCACGCATGGGAATGCCAAATGTGCAGTGAGGTCGATTGTGAAAACATTACCCACTCTTCAACATGTAATTATGATGTCACCATGTTCGCCTGCACTATGATGCCATGTGCCTACCACTCTTGACGACTTTAACAGTATCACAAGACTGTGTCACGGTTACTATAATGTTTTTCCTCACAGTTTCTAAGGTTTTTTTTTTATTCCCTTTAGTGTGTAATTTATTATTTGTTCTGTACTGACTTTTTCTTTGATCACTTCATTCCTAATTTTATCTCTTCTGGTAACTACTGCATTCCTTCTCAAAAATCTCATTTACCTGACCTTAAAAAATGATAATTTCAGGCCGTAACAATAAATGTCTTGAATTTCTTACTGATTTCTATGTTTAAAGGGAGTCACCGTGGCCGAGCGGCTAGACGCGCGCCGCGGATCGGAAGGTCGTGGGTTCGCTCCCTGTTGGAGAGGGACTTTTCAAAAATGACTATTCAAGTACTTTGGGAGCACAACCGATTTTTTTTTGTTATGGTTTGAAATTGTGCATCAATATTATAATTGTTGGTATTGTACGCTGAATTCAGTAAGTGTTACTGGAGTGTGTGTGTGTGGGGGGGGGGGGGGGAAGAACAATTGTATCTACAGTTTCAGAAAGAGAATGTGAAGATGTAGTTAGTTTTCCATTATTATTTATGCTTAGTCTTTTCGCGTTCCTGATTCCTCTGTAGCTTAAAAGTGTCTCTCTCTGCCTATCAATATTTGTTGTTTGGGCCGGGGCGTGCAGAGAGTGGCCAGCGGGTACTATGGAGTTGGAAGTCCAACAGGTAATTCACGCCAAGATGATCTGGTTCTCAATGCAGTTGGTTCGGTGTTGAGAGGAAAGAGAAGTGCCTGGGTGTTCCTAGCGAAAGCTAATGGAAAAGCTTTGGTGCACTACACACACACACACACACATATATATATAAACATACAAGTTCAATATTATGCACCCACCGCCCCCCCCCCCCCCCCGCACACACACAACACTCACGTCTTGCGCGCCCACATGGGAGTGCACGTATACACAACACTCACGTCTTGCACGCCCACATGGGAATGCACGTATACCTGTTTGCACACACACACAACACTCACATCTTGCACGCCCAAATGGGCATGCATGTATACTTGTTTGTACACACACAAGAAAGCAGCTGTGGTGTTGGAGTCAGCCACGTCGTTTGTGGATCGGAAGGCCGTGGGACAGAACACGAAGGAACCAGAACATTAACTGTTTTATAAAATGACCCCAGCTCCAAGGTGGATCCAGCCTTAAATGATTACTATTGTTGTATATGACATACACTATAGTTTTTTTTTTTCATTTCGTTTAACTCATTGATTGCTAGTTTTGGGTCTTTGATTTGTGTATGTGACCCTTTCTCAATATCCACTATATTGAGGGGTTAGTCTTGGTCAGGTTACGTTGTTTTACATAATCTTACTCCTACTGTTTGTTTCTTGCCTTCTTCAATTCCTTCTTCCTTTTCTATCTTTGTCTTATCATATCTTTATCTATAGAGACTTGTATAAGAAAGAGAGCTTACTCTTATCATTGAGAGGGGGGGGGGGGGAGGGGGCGTGGCCTTACTGGGCCAGAGCTCCCAGATTCTGGAGCGTCTGCTGCTGACCAGATCCGTGTTTCTGGTGATTGTGTTAGTTGTCGAGACATCGCAGCCTATGCCTTTCAGCGCGGCACACGATGCTGCTGCTGATGATAATGATACCGATGAAATAAGATATTCTGTTTTCTACACACTATTCGTGGGGCCTTGAAACTGCAGATTTACAGCAGATCTGTCCCCTAGCGACGTGTGACTCAGAACCTATCAGTAAAAGAATGTCGATTATGTGGAATGTAGACAGGACATGAAATAGAGAACTAAGCCCTTGTTTGCCTGGCAGACGACAGTTATCCAGACCGCGCCAAAACTGTTGGTTGGGGGGGGGGGGGATATTTAAGCTCGTTCACGTTGACATCAGCTATTATAAAATGGAGGACTGGCATCCTTGAGTGCTTCAACCGTGACCATCGATAGTACTACCGACGGTCTTGCTTCAACCCACGATGATGATGCACGAGGGTCAGGCAGTGCAGGAATCCCCATCCCGACAGAACTGCAAGCACCAAGGATCCTCTTCTCTCACCCCAGCAAGCTATCTGTCTCTCTCGCTCTTCTGACCTCACTATAAAATCTCCTGGAACATTCGAGCATTTCAAATTTTTTTTGCAAATCTGTGTTACCTCCACTGTTTCTTGGAAAAAATAGACCGATCCCACTGACTGACTGACTTTCTACCCCACCAGAACATCACACAAGCGATGAACACCCGATGACACAATGTACCACCACGTGGATGAGGATCACCGTGGAGAGGTCCCAGAAACCGCGTTCAGCCATTAGACGATTTTTATGGCCTGGTTATATTGCGGCCCCCGGCAAGAGTCAGGGTGGGGCTTCAAATTACTAAAAATGTCATCCTAAAAAGGACAGAGAATCATAATTCACAACAACAGATTGGTTGTCCCGAAAAGGAACAGGTAAGTCGATGGCAACGCTGAGTGGTTCTTAAGCTTTTTTCCAGGGCTTCCCAAAGCGGCAAGGGCACTAGCGCGGCTTCCAGCACGATCCCACCAAGCACCAGCAGCAATCAAGCAAAAACCCACAGGGACAGGAACCAGAGAGAACCCGGCCAGATCCTAAAAAACCTCACCAGACAACAAGAAAAAACCTACAAAAACCCAGAAGGATATGAAACCAAACAAGCAAAGAAGACGACTAACAAGGACAGCGACAGATTGAAGGCAAAAACATAAACATGTGTGAGCACACACCGCAAAGGAATAATATTCAAACGAGGATAAACTACAAAGAAACCCGGCCGACCAAATAACCACCGGTCAGATAGGAGCTGGTTAAACTGTCGCCGACTTTGAAATTTGTGTTTTCTACAAACCACAACCGCAACATCAGCTGTTGTGGAAAGTGCATGAAATAAAGTCTATGCTACCAGTGCCAGATCTGGCCACTCACGACAAACCTGAACAGAAAATTAGTAACCATGGAAATGGGATGTCTGAGAAAGGCTGTAGGAGTGACCAGAAGAGATAATTTCAGGACTGAGATCATAGAAAAACAAGTCAGCACAGAACCAATTCTAAATTACATACATAGACAGGAAATCAAAGTGTGCACACTTAGACAGAATGCGGGGTCCGAATGAAGCAATGATGCGCAATACAAGACT